CTAATGTAATCAAAATATCATTTTACAGCCAAGTGGTCGCTTTGAAACCCAAACCAAGATATGTTTAAGCATTTCAAATCATCACCCTGAGCACTGGCAACCATCTTGGAGTGGTAAATGTTTTACTCGAGATATTTCTCTTACAGCACAAGTCTTTGTATGTTCAACGACTGGTGGAAGTGATCTTATATCCATTCAGAGCAGTCTCATCAACCCATGATAGCAATTATGTGTAATTTAAAAAATATTGAAATTAAGCTTTGAAATTTGTCCCAGGATAATTTGGAAATACAGCGCATCCACACCTCTCTGTCTTGTTTTTGACCAGTGCGTGTTAATTGATGATGTTTTTAGAAGTAACTAAGTTTGAGGTACAAATGGACAATGTAAATGGATATTTCTATCTCGATTATGCATTATGATGGCATGTTGGCAGTTTTCACCAGTAAATTAGTAAAATAGAATCTAGATATGGAGAAAAGGTTTATGTAGTTCTCCAAGAGCAGGAGGGAATACGATTTAGCTATTGAATGTTCATGTTGGTCTGCTCTAGCTAGTACGATCTCATAGTTCTAAAGATTGCAAATTAATGTGAATCAACCTACAATTGCCTATGTTATCTCTTTGCAGCTCTTGATGCACGCTGCAGTTGTCATTGCCAACAGCCAATGAGTGTCACGTGAATATACATATTTTGGTTTGATATTTTGATATAAAAAGTTATGACACCTCATCTATGGATGATTTTTGCAGTTCGGACTGCTTTGGTGGCATTAATTGCATTTATGCCTACCAACCCAAATGGTGCACTGGGATCATTAGACTATACAAAAGAAGAGAGGCGAGCTCTGGCAATTAAATCTCGTGAAGCTACTCCAAAGTTTGGGTCTCCTGAACGCCAAAAGCTGATTGATGAGGTTTGTTGTGTCCTACTGATCCAAATATATACATTATCTAGGATCCAAATAATAATGGTCTGTGCAGATTCATGAATATATGCTGAGCAAAGCACCCCCCTTTCCTCAAGGCAGACAGGGTTCTGAAGTACAGGCCACCAATGAAGAGAATGAAATTCAGGGGAATCCTCAAAATGCTGCATTGGACGGTACTGAGGAAGAGCTTCCAAATCCAGTTGTAGAAGACGAGATTGTTGAAGAAATTGCTGAAGAAACAAATGAAACCCTATCATATGCAAATGTTGTGCAGACTTCACAACCAATTCCTGCTGTGTCCACAAGTGAACTTAAGTTTTATAAGCCAGAACCAAGGGTTTCCAAACAAGACCGCTTGTTTACATTGGCAGCTGTTGGGCTTACCATTGCCATAGTTTTTCTTTTGTTGAAGAAGTTCATGAAATCTAATGGCTATGGAGCAATTTTCATGGACAAGTCCTGAGTAGAGTTGAATACCGATGGCAAATGCGAAACTAGAAACATCTGTGTTATGTTAACAACTTTTGCTCCTCGTATTTTAAATACCTGATTGAATGAAATAATTTAAAGGATAAAGAACGAGTGGTGATATGTTTTGGAACTACATAAAGAACTTTTTTTTTCCCCCATTTTGGTGTAAGATTACTTGAATTCTGATGGAATTACATCGCACAATGTACCAAGAAGCTTGGATGATTTCAGCAATTATCTGAGTCCAGTCCAGCACTAAAAGATGATGTTTGTGCAACATGTGATGATTGCAAATGGAAAAGCGACATGAAATAATTCCTGTTCACATCACTGACATGTCCATTTTCTTCCTGAATATACGAAACATGATTTTATGTCCATTTTCTTCCTGAATATTGTATGCTACCGGTGTTTATTATCCAATTGAAGCTTTGCAGTAGCTATATTACATATTTGATGAAACCCACATAGCCGATTCTCATAATATTTTTGCATGAAATTCTTATTCACTGCAAGTAATTAGTTAGTTTCGGATTTTGGTTTAGACATGGACCAGACTTCCGCATTGGTCTCATTTTTAGGTTCGCAGCCGTAACGAAGTGGAATTTTATGCCAAGCATCCATCGTCAACTTAATGGATGAACTCTGCATTCCATTAGGTATGAGGCTGTGGTGATAACAGGGCCAGCCCTGAGATTTTAAAATGGTGTCCCCTTCAAGTGATTAAAAAATACATTTAAGAAAAAAAGATTCCAATAATATTATTTCATTGTAAAAATATGATATTTAAATATTTGTTTTTTTACATAACATATAAATGTATAAATAAAGCTGAAAAACATCTCTTGAACTTCGTCAAGATTCATATGTGTTCAACAAAGAACCATCCAAGCCAGTCAAGATTCATATGTGTTCAACAAAGAACCATCCAAGCCAGTAACCTCTTCGTGCAATTCCATATAAGCAATCCTTGAAAAGAAAAAAACAAATATCACGTGTAAACATTGAAATGCAACAAATCATGTAAAAATATTTATTCTCGCATTTTTAGAAACAAAATGTAATCAATATGTTCTAAAAAGTTTTGTTCAATGGATATCAAATTTAGTCCATTCAATCGTTTTTATAACATGGTTGATCGCATATAAGATTTTAATAACTTCAATTTTGAAAAACTTTTTTCTGCAGGTGCAATAGTAACATGAATTGTCAATAATATTCTATAAACAATACATGTATTCAGAAAGCTCAAATCTTTTCAAATAAGTCAATATATTAAAAGCTGTCTTTATTTCTTTTGGTAAAAGATTTTGCAAAACTTTTAACTCTTGAAACAAATCTTTGCCATCAAGATCGCAAAAATTTACATGTTATATAACAATATGAAGATGATCACAACATACTTTCAAATTAGTATCCAATGAGTTTGACTTGTTAGAAGAAAATAAAAATCCCAAATTTTTTTTCATATGAATTGAATTGATCAAACTTTCTTTCAAGTGATCAAATTGCTTGATCTACTATATAAATGAAATAATTGGTTATGAAAGAATCTTCAGATGATTGTGCATCGTCTACAGTAGTATTTTCATCAAAATGTTTCTTCCTACGAATTATACGTTTCGCTTGAAATAAAGGATTAATTTTCATTTCAATGGCAATTTCTTTAGCAATATTTATCGCATCATGGAATCCAATTTTCCTATATTAAAAAAAAAAAAAACAATCAGCCCTTTCACTTCCTCAATAGCAATGTCAATAAGCATATCATTAGATTGCAAGCGTTTACTAATCAAGTTAACAACATACAATAACTCATACCATATAATCATAGCTACTAAAAACTCAAAATCTCCGACATAAAGGTTTGCCAAAGCATTAGCTCGACACCTTACATCATTGTCATTTTCAATTTCAGTGACTTCAAGTAAAGCTTCTCTTATTTCAGGAGTTTGGAATCTAATTGCTTTAACAACTTCAATATGACTTTCCTATCATGTAACTGACAATCGCTTGACATTAGTTTTAACATTATCTTTCAATATTTTCTATCTCTTTGTAGAATTAGAAAACAAAGTATAAATACCCTGTACAGCACCAAAAAAATCTTTTGCTTTAACACAAGAGTTTGCCATATCATACGGTGCTAAATTCAAACTATGACATCCACATGGTGTATAAAATGCTTATTTGATTTTATTAATAATTGTTCTTTTGATTTTAGAAGCCTGAAGAAGCTATCAACTCATTTTGAATTTTATTTGAAAGATAGTGATATTGAATTTCATTACTTTCAATACTTCGCACATGTTCCTTCATGATAGGATCCCACTTTGCAATCATTTCAATTAGTCCTAAATAACTCACGTTGCTATCCTCAAGAGGTCTCTCGTTCCACAAAATCCCAAACTATTTTTAGCTAGGTATTGCACGAGATAAATTATTCTTTGCAGTACTTCCTTCCAATGTTGTTTCTCTTTTCTATTTTGTTTTTGAATTTCTACATCAATTGTTTCATTTTTCTCATTCTAGCACGTAAATCAATCCAAGTAGTCATGTTGTTGATATGCACACTACTC